AATTCGGTGGAACAGGACAAGTGACTTTGCACGATTATGCGTGTCAGTCAAACACAAGAAATGAGGAAAAAAACTGTAGAAATAAACTGCAACACATTGACAAACTTTACCACAAACTTCACAAACAAAGCTCACATGAGAAACTGACACATGGCTTTCATAGCCGTGACGGACTGCAATGTTAGGAATGCACACGTGTACGCTTCATGAGTCTCTTTAGCTATTTAAGCTGTGAGGCAGCTAATTTAAGCAAGCTGGTGTCGATGTGGTGTAAATGAAAACAATCTGCACAAAATATTTTAGCTCTCCAAATCTGGCGAGTACGAGGAGTACAAAGGTGTGGTAGGAGAGCGGGGTGTGACACAGAGCGCGGATGTTGTGGTTTCCCGGTAAAGGGTGTAATCATTAGCTATGGTTACGTTCAAGACATGTGGCTCTCCATTTTTTACAGGTTAAACTAGATGGCTGCAGCAACACTTAAAAACAGAGACCTTCAATTTCTATACAAACTAGTGTTTATTATTAGTTTTGTAAATGGCTTAAGGTAATAAATAAATAAATAAAACAAATCACATAATAGGACAAGCACATACTTACATGCAATTCTTCAGATGCTCATTGCTGCATCATAACCACTATTGCTGAGAATATTTATTGCTCTTTGCACCCTTGCCTGCACACAACTATGTTTTTATGCCTTAGTGACATCTTAACAGCTAAAGGTACTTTTCATTGTTCCTTTTATTTCCCCAAGGGATTGTCACAGTGGATCTGCATATTTGAGTTGGCAAATTTCATACCGGATGCCCTTCCCGCCTATATTATCCGGGCTTGGTGACAGTGTTGTCGCAAAAAGTGATGCCCAATGTTTGCATTTACTTTTAACTTCCAGTATCCTTGTTTGGTAAATACACAGTAGACGACAGGACTTACAAAAAGGTTATAGAATAAAAAAAACGAGCTGTTGTGCAAATATGCTTATAGCTAAATTATAAAGCAATCAAACCTTTTTTTGCCTAAACACATTTATAGAGCTGCTATGCTATGTTTTGCAATTTTTCCTGCCCTCTTGGCCAGAACTCAGAAATGACCTATAATCTTTTCTGACAGATTATAGGTCAACAAGTCATTTACCAAAGTTCAAATACCAGTAATCCTTTTTTGGCACAACACCAGCACCAGAACACTAGATTGTGACACCCTGCTAGGCTAAATGTGTCAAATTGAGGTGAACACGTTGCTGCTGACATTGATGCTTTTGTAAATGAGCATCTAATCCAA